AACGTTGTTAGCCTGGAGATACTAAGGGAAAAACACGAAAACCCTCAGAAATGTTGGTGTCTCCGATGAGATTCGAACTGACAACCCCCTCGGTCACTCTTTAGATTGCGACACAGACTGAGTAGATTTATAGATTATGCTGAGATATATCATAGTTATATAACCTCTTATCCAGTGGTAATTGAGGGCTCTTTTCTCGAGGGTATTGCGGCAGGGGCGTGAAACTGAGAACTCACCTCCATCTAGTGTCGAGATCAAGAATGGCGGAGCTATACCTCCACTCCCGCATATTGTTTAACGGTACAGCACTTAATTTATTAAGCACAGGAACTATTTTACCCTTATAAATATATTTAGTTGAAGCAGTGTCGTTAAATAATTTAAGAAACCAAGCAGTCAGTCACGATGCTACGAATTTTGCCTGTTTTCTAGTCGACACCATTGTCTTCCCTCGTGCGCTTTGAATTTCTTTATAATTTTCGCGTCTTATTCTTGCATTAAAGTCCCCGTAATGTTCGTGTCTTGATGTAGCATTGAAGTCTCCTTTAAGTTTTTTTTTTTTTTTTTTTTTTTTTTTTTTTANACCGCCACAGAGTTGGGGTTGCCCTTGTTCCCAAGGGTCTGGGATTGTGCTCCAGAGATTTACACGGTCCAGCAAGCAGCAGGAATGTCGGGATGTCAGCTACGTGCTGGCATTTCAGTAGGCCTATCAGTGGCGTACAGCGTTGCACAGTAAAAGAACTTTGTGAGGGTTGCAGCTTAGATACACAGCGCTGAAGATCCAGATATCGTGGACGCCAGCACAAGTCAGAGGGCAGGCCCGTTGTCTACCTGCCCTGTAGTTCAGGAAAACAGAAAAGGTGTGGCGCTTGCAATGTAGAATCCTATACGTATTTTTCTCTCTTTTGTTGTTATTCACCCATATACATTACAGCCTTGACTTACAGTTTGAAATAGCGATTTTGCTGAATATTCTCGCTCCCCACTTGGAAATTTATGGAAGCAGGTGTATGTATAGTAAGATATAAATATTGATCGAATAACAGTATAAACAAAATGGTGCTGCTATCTAGAGGTATGATAACAAACTTTCATACTGTGTGGGTAAATAGGTAAAGAAGCACGACTCAATGAAGACGTATGGGGTAGTGGATCCACGTTTTCTTGATCTCAGTACTAGTTGGAGGTGAGTGGTCAGCTTCACGCCTCGGCCGTTTAATCACTAGAGAAATAGCCCCCAGTACCCATTGGATAGGCTCGGTGGGTCCCAGAGCCGGTCTTGACGACTTGCAGAAGAAGAACAAATTTTTTAACTTTCCGAGACTTGAAGTCAGACTCCTCGGTCAGATCGCGGTTTCAAATCCCGATGAGGACACTGGATTTTATTCAGTTTACCTACTCCTTTCAGCCGCATTATGGCCCTGGGGTCGACTCACCCTCTATGAGAAATGAATACCAGGAATCTTCCCGGGGATAAAGGGTGGCCGGCCCCTAAGCCTGACAACCTCACCATCATCTGTGAGCCTATTGTTTAGAAAATATGGTAGCTTCGACGTCTCACAAACCTACAGGCCTTCAAGGCCTGTTATAGGGATAACTTTGCCTTTATATTTTATTGGTAAAAGTTATCCCTGAATCTAACTAATTAAGCACTACGCCATGAAGGCGTATGGGGAGTAGATATATAGGCCCACGTTTTCTTGACCTCGGCACTAGCTGGAGGTGAGTGGTCAGCTTCACACCCCTGCTGCTTTACTCCTGGGGTAAGAGCCCCCAGTACCCATTGAATAGGAGGTTGTGTGGGCCCCAGAGCCGGTCTGGACGACATGGAGAAGTGAAAATTCTTGCCTCCCATCGAGACTCGTACTCCGACCCCTTGATCGCCCAGCTCGTAGACAGTCGCTATACCGACTGAGCTATTCGCATGAATAAAAGCTAAGCTTGAAGCCTGCTTCTGCTGGTTTCTTGCTAGGCTTACTCTTCGGCCCTAAAGATAGAGGCTGTATGTTCGTCCGAAACTTTGGGCTACACAGTGTTCCTGCGCGGTCAGTTATCGCCGGATGCTACCGGGTACTTCCGCGGTGCAGCTGTCGGCTTGACCCATATTGGACTAGCCGTTACTTGTACCGTAGTTCTGCAAGAGCAGATGCCAGGCCGAGCCGTTCATACAGTTCATGATTAGGTTTGTCTTACTGCAAGCTACTCGGATTCGTGGTGTTTGCAGCCCTTCATATACAGTTATAACCACTTCTCCATAGCGTCCAGAACAGCTCTGGGGCCCACCCAGCTTTCTGTACAAGTGGTACCGTCGCCTGTTTCCCAGGGGATAAAGCGGCAGGGGCCTAAAGCTGACCACTCATCTCCATCTAGTTTACCCATAAATTTACCCATTTATTTTCGCAGCTGTAACCATATATTTATATTCTTCAGGATTACAGTCTTCCAGGTTGTAGAAAATTACCAGTGTTTCGGTGGGACTTTATGCCTCCATCTTTTGTCCTGAAACTAACACAATATATCCCAGAAGGAAAGGTCAGTATTCTGGGCCGTCAGATGCAGATCAGATTCTTGAATATGACGCCGTGTAATCTGACAAACGTTTCATAGGAACTTGCAGCCCCCTTCTACAGTATCTACAACGCAGAAGATGGCATATGATTTCTCTTACGCATTATTACCTTTCTACCAGACTACACGGCGTCACTCCACACATTCACCGCCTGAGAGTCTCAGAACTTTTATTTTGCATATATTTCATTTCACGCGAAATAAATTGACAACTTACATTTCAGAATTTGCGGCCCGTAAGGAAACGAACTTTTGCATTTTGTTTTCGGGATGCCAACTGTTGAACACTAAATACCGTCTTCATGAATACATTCCAAGGAGGAATACAGTGCGCTGTATGCTTCGCCGAAATGTTTTTATTATTTAAACAAGCCCATAACATGAATCGCTGACCATAGCATGTGCGTGATGGCATAGCATGTCCGTTTATGGAAGAATTAAAAAGAAAGTGAGTTGTTTTTATGAATTACAATTGTAGTATGTTCAGAGAAGAATAGAAAGTGATGAATAAGTTAGCGACATGCGATTGTCATCATGCTCGCCTCGTGATTTGTGAACTGGAAACCTGAAAATGGAGGCGGAATGTTGTTTCTTCTTACGCTTTGGTAGCCATCCACCTAAATACACAGTGTCACATCCCAGAAAACTGCAATCGTAATGCTTGCTTCACAGCCTGTAATCTGAATTCTCAAATACTTTACTGCAATGGTTGGGCGCTCTGATCAGACACACCTAACAGCAAAAGCAATTGATTGTCGGACTTTTTACGTGCTAGCTTCTGTATAAATTACGTTAAATATAACAGAGGATACAAAAGGTGAAAATTCTTCCCAAAAACCGAGAAACTCCGGTTCAAGAATAGAAGTGGAGTTGTAGAATTCAATCAATGAATTTTATAAAATCCCACAGACGTTGTAGCAGTTTAAGAACTACTGAACTGAATGTGTTTGTATAGCCGTAATGCTTTAGACTCTTGTTCTGTAGACGTTCGTTTCGAATTTCCGCCTGGATACTAACTATCCTGAGGATTTTCATGGCTCCCCCGATTCCTTCCAGGCAAATACCAAGATAATACTTCAATTAGGCTACGAACGCATGTGCTCAATTCGCCTGTCAGCCTGTCATTCGACGCTGTAGAATCTTGAGCTACCCATAAAAACTCCGCAAGCGAACTATACCAACCGAGCGACCGCCGCTTATCGGCGAAGTTAGTGCCAACTTTAGCGGATAGAGGGTGTCGCGTGGTCAGCGCAACGGATCCCCACGGCCGTTAATTTCAGTTTTCTAGACCGGAGCCGCTATTTCCTTGAAATAGCTCCCCGTTCCAGACCCACTACTTCTCAGAAAAAAAATCTGATAGCGCCGGGAATCGAACCAGGATCTCTGGTTCTGTAGCCAGGAACTCTGACCACTAAACCACGGAGGCGATCTGTTGAACTACGCATTCATTCATTCATTCATCAGTAATCTGTCAGATGACAGGTCTCTCTCCACAGTCTCTTCCAAAACAATTCCTCCACTTAATGCGATCTAGAGCTTTCTCCTTCAATTAAGAATATCCTCTTCTGTCCCCAACGTCATCCAGCATCTTCTTACGTCTTCTTCATCGTCTTCCGGTTCGCATGGTGTCTCTGTTTTTGGAAAGAGACTATCCAGGAAAAGTGATAATGTGGTAGTTTTTCCATTTGCTTTCCACATCGCAGTACAACAGCCGTTCAAACCACTCTGGTCACGCCTGTTGCTATACGAACTTGAACCATCTCGAGCATCATTTGCTCTGTGCTTCAAGACGCTGCTGATGACGCTGCTTCCGGCATCAGTTTTTGGTTTTTGGTGTCTCTCTTCATCTGATGCGTACCCTTTGACCTGTCCAGCAAGGGACGCCCTGCTGGTAGCTACGCTACCGCTGGTATAGCTCTCAGGGTCCTTGGCATACCCATAGCGCCAATAAATAATCCACACAGGAAAAGTAAACGACTGTAATAACAGTCATATTGACTGATTCACTAATTTAGAATACACTGAAGCTCGTTATTAGTGGCAGAAATCAATGCTTATGTCACAGAGAAAACAGTTAAAGAAAATGAATTTTTATTACTCAGTTCAGAAACTTGTAACTTCTGAAAAAAAGAAACTGACTTCACGGGCAGAGTCCTTCTTGAAAAGCTAATGCTTGCTCAGATAGTCAAGAAATTCCTAGGATCTTATGGAACTCATATGTTGGTTACCTATCTTCGTAAGAGCCCACAGTGGGTCTGTATTCTGAGCCAGCTGAATCCAGTTCATACCCTCCCATCCTATTTATTTTAAGATCCATTGATGTAGGAAAGGAAAAACCATGAGACCTTGAGAATCATAAAATGAAATGTCTAATCACGGATTCATTAGCTTCCAGTTTCACTGTGGTAACACTATATGTTTTTCTGTTTCAGATGTTTCCAAGAAATGGCGCTCTTTCACTTTGTGTTGTTCTGGTGAGTAAAAACTCAACTTATCGCCCATATCACTTGCAACTTTCATATAACCTGTACTGTGACCACTCAAAATGAAACCAGAACATTTCTTCTTCCTCCTCTTCTCTTCTTCCTCACTTGCTTCATCTTCATAAATATTAACAATATCTGACAGACTACATGGTGCCACATCCCTGAAGACAGTAATCTTCATGGGTACATATAAATTGTGGTAGAGATCTGCGAACTTATTTCAGTAGTTGAGTGATGGGTTTATTGTCTGTTTCAGAGCTGCATGGTTTGTGTTCAGCCTGAGCAAAATGGCCGCAGGAAGCCAAATTCAGTGGTCGGTAAGTGCCTGAAGAGAAAATATTCCAGTGATTACCCATCATGCATTAGGCAAACAGTGTTATATGTAAGTTTTAAGGTTTTTACAGCAGTGACAGTCGAGACCATTGCCATCTTGTTGTCATACCCTGCAGTCCTGGTGGCGTAGATACTGGTATTTTAGTGCAACATGCTTTACTCGTAGAGTTGAAGTTTATAAGCTGTGAAACTGTCTCAGGCTTTACTCACTCTTCCAATTCCGACATGTGATGAAGAACTGACTCTGCCCCTTAGAAGGACCATTTTCCTACTAAATGTTCTCATTGGCATGGATCCTGTTCCATTTCTTTAGCCCCTCCCTCGAGTCCACCTCATCCTCACCCCACACAATTCAACCATGAAGAAGGAGGCAGCGTATTGACCCAAAACAGTCTCTGCCAACAAGGCTATGTGGTGTTGTAACCCAGAAGATGACAGTCTGAATGGCAGATATACTGGACACTGTAATCTCTATGAAAACACCAAAGTGAACGTGACTCTATATTCAACCTCTGAAGCCTGAAAATCTTCTAAACAATAATAAAAATTAAATTTCTGCTTCACAGAATATACACTGTGTCCCCTGTTACAAAGACTGCCTGAGTAATACTGTTTAGAAAAATAATCACAGTTTATTCTGGAGAATCATATGAAATATCCATAAATACATTTTGTGGGCAAAATTCAGAGATTTTGATTGTTAAAGCAGATGGAACTGTGGTTGATCTCCAAGAGGGGCAACATATCCCCCCCCCTTCAAATCACCGCCTGTGTGGTCTAGTGGTCAGAGTTCCTGGCTACAGATCCAGAGGTCCCGGGTTCGCTTCCTGGCACTACCAGATTTTCTGAGTAGTGGGTCTGGAACGCAGTCCACTCAGCCCCGTGAGGATAATTGAGGAGCTATTTAAAGGAAATAGCGGCTCTGGTCTAGAAAACCAAGATTAACGGCCATGGGGTTTGATTGCACTTACCACGTGACACCCTTTCTCAGCAAAAGTTGGCACTAACTTTGCTGACCAGCAGTGGACGCTCAGTCAGTATAGTTTGTTTGTGAATACAGGCCACAGTTTTTTTTGCAACATCCAGACTGGCTCTGGAACCCGCTCATCCTGCTGTCCAGTAAGTATTGAGGATTCCTTCCACAGGAATAAAGCCTCTGGGTGGGAAGTTAAAACTCATCACCATATACTGCTGAGGTGAAGAATGCATGAAGCTATGCCTCCACTCCCCTCTATGTCTTTATGGTGCTTAATTAAGCACAGTTTGAAATATACTTTTATTTCCTTCATTTAGATGTATTGTGCTGAGAAATGTTCACATGTGTTCTAGGTGTGAATACCACATGCACAGCTGACACACTAACTGTAAAGATCCTGATGGAACAGCCATTTCAAGGCCTACTTTATGCACGGGGATTCCCTCTGGAGTGCAGGGTGCAAGGAATAGGTGGCACTGATGTCACACTACACCTTCCTGCCACAGGATGTGGAGTACGGGTCATTCCAAGCAAGGTCAGTTCACTCATATTGCAAGGAGCAGTTCAAGACATAGACATGATGGGTTCAAATATACACATAGCAACAAAGTAAGTTCACACCTGTCTTCTGGATGGGACCAGGCAAATTCACTCACTTGATAATGATTTTGGATTGTATTTTGGAAATGTCTTGTTCAAATCTCAGCTAGGACATCATCTATCATGACTTCAGGTTGTTTGTGGTTTTCTTCAGTTCTTCGGTAAAATACCAGGATAGTACTTCAAATTAGGCGATGGTTGCTTCCTTCCTCATCCTTTCCAATTCATTATTCACCAACCATTCAACAATGTGTAGCCTGATGTACTGATGGTGTCACGATATAAACCACTAAAATACATATTATCACCTTGATGTTAGAGTATTCTGTCTCCACTTCTTGGTGTAAATGAGGTAGTGTTCTCTGTATTATGTTGCTCTATTTCCACCTACTTCCATAGGGTTACCTTACTTGCCAGTGTGAGATTTCAGAACGTGTTTTGTTCTAGGGTAAAGCTATCCCTGTAACAGGCCGTGAAGGCCCATAGGGTTGTGAGCCGTTGAGGGTCCCACATTTTCTAGACAGTCGGTTCACAGATGGCGCTGAGATTGTCAGGCTTGCTCGCCGGCCTCCCTTTACCCCCAGGAAGATTCCTGGTACTCATTTCTGTTAGACGCTGAGTCGACCCCAGGGCCATGGTGCTGCTGGAAGGATTAGATCAACTGAAAAAATGCACCTCATTGGGACTTGAACCCGCAACTCTTCCAGATTTTTGCATAGTGGCTCAACCAATTACGCTACCACTAAGTCACATTAAAACTTAAAACTGCAATTGGTTACTGTGTTACTTCAAACCAAGTTAATTGGTTTATTGAACAATCTACAAATATCGGCTACAATTAATTATCACAATGTTACAGGTTTCCACACTTTGCAAACCCTACAACAAAATCTCTTAACACTATCTTCCAGAGTCTTCACGTATTAATAGCGCGGGAGCTATACAAGTCTCGCTGAATTACACACTCCAAATATAACTGGTTATCACGAACTATCACTGATTCTCGCACACGCGTCTGTAGCTCATAACTTGTGAACTGAGAACTCGTTGATAACACACTGACTCTCGCTTGCTGCTCAGCCGGCTTGTATTCCGTTCGCTGTTGCTAGGATCGCCCACCACGTCACTACTGTGACATGGCATATAGCCTAGCAACGCTGTCCGGAGTTGTTGACTGTTGCCTAGCAACCGCGATATTCCTTGGTGACGTCACCGCTGTTGACTCACATTGCATAGCTACCAGGTTGCGGGGACTCGGCTAACTTCAGCTCCGCTCGGCACGTCACCGCGGGGAGAGTGGAGGGATGATGACTCGCCTTTTACGAGAGCGCTACGTTACTGCCACGTGGCGCTGGGGAGGTAGGGGTCCTCCGTTGCGCACCATGTCACACTATACATAGTACGTTCCAGTGCTCAGATGACAATAAGCCTCTGGCATATGCAGCAGAGAACACAGATTAATGTTATAATGACAGACATGTCTGTATTTTAAGAGATAGTCAGGTCATGGGCAAAGCAATTGACTACCACCAGATCAGCGCTCTTGGATTGCCGTTAGTCCCTAATGGAAGTTCAACTGACATACATGAATCACCACAGGGGAATTGATGGTAATGGTATTTCTGACTTGTTGGCAACATCTGCTTATTGCATCTGAACTGGCATGTAGTTTCAGAAGGAGCTTCCAAGATTGCTGTCAGCTTCTGAATGAACAGAGACCATCAGACACTATGGAAGTCAATTCCTTGTCATGAACACTATCAGTTTACTTAGAGAACCCTCCACAGAAAAAACTGGGGTACTACTAGGATTGAAGGGGCACCATGTGAGGTGCATGTACTACTCACAGGACCCCCTCAATTGCATGAACACCTGTTCATATTGGGATTAGTAAATAGCCCCACTTGTTAATGGCCCCTCGAACAAAGATAAAATATCTCCACATGCCCTTTGTGACTTTGAGGTTCTAGTTCAATTAAATGGATATCCTTTTTGTGAAGCCGGATGACTATTCTTCTGAAGCATGAGGATGTTAGAAGATAATTCAGAAATGGGATGCACAACAGCTTACAGTTGGTTATAATGCAATAGCTGGTATGGCCTACCCCTTTACTCTGAAATACTCTGTCCTTAAAAGCCTCTGCTACTATCACCTTCAAGTGATGCACTCCTTTTCCACAAATAAATCTGCCACACAACTCATGGTTGTTTATTTATATATACCATAATACTTCAAATATAAGACACACATTTTACACTTTTTTCCCTGTTAAAAGTTGAGATGCATCTTAAATTTGGGGTCTTATATTCGAGGTAATACATTGTTGTTGTTAGTGGGGTGAGACTGAGTCCACTTGGTACTGCGGCCACTACTGGCCTATTGTACCAGCCCCAGATGATAGGTGAGGGTGATTGTGGAGCAATTGGTGGAATGAAGATTGGCAGGGGAAACCGAAGTACTCGGAGAAAACCTGCCCCAGCGCCACTTTGTCCACCACACATCCCACATGACCAGACGCGGGCTCAAACCCAGGCCACTGTGGTGGGAAACCAGTGACTAAGCGCCTGAGCTATGTCATGGCCAAGTGATAGGGTATATTTCTTATTCATGGCTTATTTATATCCCAGAAGACAATAATATTCAGATTAATTGTTTGATATGTTAACATTTGTGAATAACAGTAGTTGAGTTGACTACTTAGAGTAAAACCCTGGGTCAAGTTTTCTTCTGGGACCATTGGATTTATACATTGAACCAAGGAAATTCTTGAATGAAGCAAATCTAATGCTGAGATTACTGACTTTGGATCATTGAAACTAAATGTTAAATGAGCGAATAACTTAAGTTGAGGAATATTGAACTGGGGATTCAACTGTATGCAACGATCATTGTGAGTTATGTTCATAAAGTCTGGTGGTAAAACGGCAGTTGTTTCAACAGTTGGCCATTCTATCATAGGATGCTTTGGCCCTTGCATACACTGTAGTGATGGACATCCAGATAGATAGACATCTCCAGCAAGCAGCTGATCAACAACGTACCATCACCTGCCGACTGCCTGCTGACAGCCTGCTACTGTCACCATCACTGACACTTGCCCAGGAACCATTGCATCCATCTGCCAGGTTGGTACCACTGATGTGAACACCCAATGGCAGTCATGTGAAGGTGTCACTCCTTCATAGTCTTACTCCAACTACCACAAGCATTAGACCTGATAAACACACAAGAGAAAGCAGCAACACTACTGAATCTGAAGTCTACATATGACCAGTGCACCAGTTTCTTCAACCTCCAATTAATACAAACTTGGATTTTATGTATCAGCTGCAATGCTCAGTTATTAATTTTAGTTGTAATTAATGCTTCACTCAACAAGAGAACAACACAGTGCAGAAAATTACAGCAACATAGATGCATCTGATGATGGCAATGTGTGGTTCAAACACGTCATACTGACAACATAAATAAGTGAACGCAACATGACAGTGTGAAAGAAACAACACAGCTGTCCAAATATTAAATGAAACTGAAATACAATAGTAAATATTATGTGTCAGAAATACTGGTTTTTGGACTTTTTCCATCATCTGGAATTCTAAAAAAAAAAAAGAGAGAGAGAGAGAGAGAACACAACAGTCTGGATACTGGATTTGTTTCTGTCTCTAGGTGAGGGGCAGAGACACCTACTCTGTTGGGTCCCTTAGAAAGAGCTAACCTCTCTAAGGGACTCAAAAGAGTAGGTGTCTCCCCCCCCCCCACCTGAGGACTAAAACAGGCCTAGTTTCTGAAACATGTTCTCCAATTTTTTAGAATATTGGACTATGGACAAATTCCAAATCCCAGTAACTTTGACTAGAATCTCCTAATATTATGTGTGCTGACCAGATCTTAATGAATCCTTTTGAAACCAAGGGTAAATATAAATGTTTGGGAACGACAGTAACAAATCAAAATAGCGTCTACTGAAGAAGCAGGTGGCAAGCAGACTGCGCTCTGCCTTTGCCTGATTCCTGCAGGTTTCTTGCTTTAGTTACTTTCTGACCCTGATGTTGAAAGTGAGATGCATATGTTCCTCCAAAATGTCAGTTGACTTTCATCAGACTTAGCATTATTGTATCCCACAAAATGGAAATCTTTAGCATATTATAAGGTTTAGAATACTGTACCAGCTGATATTTAATTTTTAAAACAGTTTCCTAAAGAGCTCTTGAAGACAAAAGATTGGCACTTTTATGTGAAACTGCAAGGATGCTAGAACTTTTTTTTCCAAAATTTTGAAAAATTGACTGCAGTCTTCTTACATCCCTCCATTGGTGATAATAATAGAAACCACAACTTGATCACAGGGTGGCACGCAAGAAAGCGGACATTCCCAGTACAGAATTCCACCAGCAGAATACAGTATTAACCACACCCTTGGGGCAGTCACGTGTGTGGATGGAGATTAAAGGACAGAGCAACTCTGGACAGGTGTCAGTGGGGGAAGAGACAAGCCTTCTCGTCAAGGCTCTCTTGCCAGGTGAGGAAAACAATCATAATTGCTTTTTATATCCTCCCAAATCATCATATTTCCGGTAGTTCTAACATTTAAATATGAGGGAGTCAGTAAATAGGTCACAAATGGATATAAAGTGTGAAACATATGATATTTGAACTTGGAAAAACATTTATTTTTGACATATCCTCCACCAACATTGATACATTTGTCGCATCACTTTACCAGTGCGTCAAAACCCACAGCATAGAAGTCTTTTGACTGTTGCCTCAGCCACTTCTACACCTTCACTTCAATCTCTTCATCAGCAGCAAAATGTTTCCCACCAAGGTGATAATTTCTTGACCCAGATGTGAGCCACTTTACACGACAAAACACTTCACCATAAACGGGAAACTTTTTTTTTTTTGTGAATGTACTTTACAGTGAGTTCCTTTGCCTACAGAAAACACACAACAGACTGCTGCTCTTTAGTAGCATACTCCTCAAGCATGGTCACCATTTTGACTACTGAAACCAGGCTCTGAACGTGTGTATGTGCATCTTCTACCAAGACTGTCATGAAGGTGGACTGTGCTGATACCTAGTGACCCATACAAAACCTATTTCATCCATTACAGCTGTTTACTTCCATTTGTGACCTATTTATTGACTCTCCCTCATAGAATGGTATAATAATTAAAAAGTCAGGTTAACCTGCTTATATCAATAACTTTTGAACAGTCTAATGATGCAATCTTAAGAGATACATGAGCCATGAGTGATATAAATTACATCATGGTGTTTCATACCAAGCAGGCTCTCTTCACTCTCTTCCTCTAGACACATAACCTTGAAACAGATCAAGTATGTTCCTTCCCCATCCTCTCAAATTCACTGTGTATTGAAGTGTTTAAATTTCAAGGCACACTTGAAATAATCTTTATCTCAATTCGAACATTGATTTTCCATTCCAGAATTTAGAGAATTTTCATATAACTAGTTGGGCTTCCTGTAGTATCATGCAAACTAACTCAATGAATCAAAGTTATAATAAACTTAATTAAGTTATTAGGTAGAATGGAGTTATAGCTCCATATGTTCTTAACCTTGATAGTGGCACCGCACCATAGCTCAAGTGGTTAGTCGCTGGCTTCCCACTGCGGCGACCCAGGTTGGAACCTGGGTCTGGTCAAGTGGGATTTGTGGTGGACAAAGTGGCGCTGGGGCAGGTTTTCTCCGAGTACTTCGGTTTCCCTTGCCAATCTTCATTCCAGCAATTGCTTCACAATCACCCTCACCTGTCATCTAGGGCTGGTAACAGTAGGCCAGAAGTGGCCGCAGTATAAGGGACTTAGTCCCACCCCACTAGCAATAAAAAAAACCTTGATAGTGAATGGATGAGTGTTAAGCTTTAATATCTGGCTTTTTTACTCCCATGTAAAGAGCCCCTAGTGTTCACTGGAGAGGACACTGGGTGAGCCCCAAAGCCAGTCTAGACATAATTTCTTGCCCCTGCTGGGAACTGAGCCTCAGTTCCTCAGTTGTGCAGCTCATAGCCTTGTCACTATACTGGCACTCTATAAGATCATGATATATTGACAAAGAGTCAAGAAATATCTTATGTAGCACATGAAACTCCTGTAAATTGAATGTTACATTGCAGCTGGGTTCGGAACCCATGTGACAGACTGCGTAGCACATGATGGGGCAGGCGAGTCCTCACAGCACCTGCTGGATGAGTGGGGCTGTCCAATAGATGAGCAGATCCTGCCAGCCCTGCAACCCCTTCTACATGATGACAGTAGCTCCAAACTCAGGCTCCAGGTGGCAGGTGCTACCTTTGCAGCCTTCAAGTTCCCTGACCGGAACAACCTCCATTTGCGGTGCACACTGCAGATCTGTAGGGGCAGCTGTACCAAGGTGAAGAACACAGCAACCGGAACATAAGAATTTTCCACAGCCATGTGGACACTGACAGTGGTCAGAATTTAACAGAGGTCACAGTCACTTCTGATGAATCAGAGCAGAGTAACTTTGCAAATTTCCAATGTTCCTTCTAACACTCTGCTTTCTCCTTGCTTTTGATTACTTTTTTACCGCAGCAATAGTGTAGAAACTTCTACAAGGTTATACAACATCATATCTTAGAAGAAAGTACCTTTGTGGCTACCATCATGAGATTTCCTTGTCATAAATACAGCAGTTTCTTGCCAGGGACTGTTTTTTTTTAATTAACTGATAATAGACTGTATGGTATACCATATTTTCAAACACATTATCCAGTCTTGATGCTGTTAAGGGATCATACTGAGTCAAATTGCAGGGTCATTAATGAATACTGAATTGGAAAGATTTTGATAAGAAGCAGTTATGGCATCTGAGATGTGCTTTATGTCGATGGTTCCCAATCTGCTTGTATTCAATGATAGTGAAGGTGCAAATGACATTGTGAGGAATGGTAACTTGTATGTCTTATATTGCCACACCGTTAAATTGTGCAGAAGGCTATGCCCCAGCTTAGGCAGTTAGTTGCCAGTTTCCCACTGCAGCAGCCCAGGTTTAACTTCAGGTCAAGTTATGCAAGATTTGTTGTGGACAAATGCCCACCAATTCTCATTCTACCAACTGTTCCACACTCATCTACCATCATCATCCATGGCTGATACAGTAGTCCAACTGGTGGCCAGCATACTAAGCTGGATCTATCTTTTTTTTTTATAGTGGGGTGGGACTAAGTCCCTTGTACTGCCACTTCTGGCCTATTGTACCAGCCCCAGATGATAGGTGAGGGTGATTGTGGAGCAATTGGTGGAATGAAGATTGGCAGGGGAAACTGAAGTACTTACTCCACTCTGTGAATAAAAGAATTATATTTTCTGAAATATAAAACTGAAGTTCATTCAGTGGGCTGCATGACATTATATCCCAGAAGATAAAACTCTTCATAATCACCACTGTGAGAACCTCAGACCCTACAAAAGAGAAAAATGTTCCCAGAGAAGGGGAAACAATATAATTAATGTTAAAAAAAAAATAAAATAATATATTGAAAACATTAACATCATAAAATGCAAGAAATTAGAACAAAAGTGTGGTTTAATTCTATCAATTATAAAACTCAACTATGAAGTAATAACTTTTACCAGTTTTAATAAAATATATAAAATATAGTTGGTAATTAAATTGGGAAATGCATAAATGCATGGACAGCTAGTTGGGAAATACTGCTTCATAGAGTTTAATTTATGTGTTTCAAGGGTTACTGCTGAGAAACCCACATTGTTACATAGACTTTGGCTTTGCTGTGATGCTTTTGTCAACTGTGATTTATGTCAGAAAAGTAAATGTCTCATAGGAGAAGGTATTACTGGTTCAGTGAACTTTATCACAGGACTTGTTATTTTGTTACAGAGGAACTGCAACTCAGTGGTCAGCAGCAATTCAAGAATCAGCCGCAAACTGAAGGTGAGTATATTAAGATATCATGCCTGAATTACATATTGTCTGCACACGCCTTATGACTTTAACATTGGATCACCGTTTCTAGAAAATATTTCTACTTGTATAAGGTGCCATGATAAGAATGAAATTGCCTTGCATGTCCTGTGAGATTTTGAGGTCCTTGCTAAGATATTGTCACCAGGAACTCCATTTATATACCAAATGACCATCAAAAGGCTCTACTATGCTTAATTTAAAATTTGGGACTGCTAGAAAAATAAGTTTAGAAAGGGGACACACAATAGATTATGAACATTCCTGGTGTAAGGGTTGGTAATTACCCATCCCTTTGATCTTCTCTAAGACCTTTTCTATGCAAGTAAAGCCCTCTTCACTAATCAGTTGATAGTGTTACAATCAACACAGCGCAAGATTTCTTACTCCTTGCCTGTAAAGTCCCCTAAGAACTTGGCTTCCTTTACAGCAGGTGTCACTTGTTCTCTATCTCTTCACTTCCAGCTGCCCTAAATCATTCTCTGCATCTTCTAGCCCTCAGTCAGATACTGATTACTTTTATTCTTCCTTATGACTTTCAAAAATGTTCTTATTTGCCCTTATTTTATCCATTCTAATTACTACCCCATCCACCATAACACCCTGTATATAATATCAGGAGTTTTACATAATTCCCTCAATTCTTGGTTAGTTCTCAATCTTCATTCCATTTCTTAGTTGCTGGTCCATTCAACTTGCTTAAAATTTTTCTCTCCCATCTATGTATATAAATTTATCCTTTTTGGTCATTGACCATGTTTTACATCATTTACCCTCCTTTTTATATTTTAATTTTTGGTGATATCCTGCTCATAATTGTAGACAGTGTAATTTTACACTCATATACAGGTCCATTCAAGTTTCAACTATGGCTTTCATCTGGGAATACACAAGGTTTATAAACATAAATTGCATCATCAAATTGTAGCCAGGGTGTGGCTTTCTATAAGTTCAATACTGTGGTTTTCAGTATTTTCAAAAAACTTAAAAATATGTCTTCTCCCACCCATTTTGCACATGCACTGTCTTGCCCCCACACTAGGGTTTTATTTACTAGGCCAGCCATTTTTCAACAAAAACTGTGTTTTTAACTTACTATGTTTCAAATGGAAATAGAAGAGAATAAGCCAGAATCTGTCCACAGTCACTATATATCCTGGGTCTTTTGAGCTGCACTTGTAGTTTCTCTGGATTTGAGTGACATCTGTAGGAGAAGATGACATTTACAGTAACAGTGGCAAGAGGCCACCAGATAACCAGTTCCGCACTGGTATATGCTAAACTTCAGTGTGAGGGGTTTTAAATGAATATGTGTTTGGTGGGGGAGGTTGTTGATGTAAATGCAGAGAGTATCAAACATGTGGTTGCTTGAAGAGTGCAATATTTTGGGTTGTAGCACTGTGTAGTTCAGTAGAAGTCCACTGATTGTACAGTGTTCCAACCCAGAGGACTGTACACTTCATAGTCACCACTGTGGTAACCTTAAATCCAACATATAGGGGCCTGATTTGCTTGCAGTGCCTCCAATGATAGTCCTTATTGTTTCCATTCTATTGTACAGTATTATGTTTTCCTGGACTCGGTAATTACATGTTGCTTCTTTTCATGTAATTGTGTTTGTAATGGTGCAGGATGGACCGCCTCTGTAGTCTAGTTGTCAGCGTTCCTGGCTACAGATCCAGAAGTCCGGGTTCAATTCTTGGCGCTACCAGATTTTTTCTGAGAAATAGTGGGTCTGGTATGGGGTGCACTCAGCCTCATGATGATAATTGAGGAGCTATTTCAAGGAAATAGCAGCTCCAGTCTAGAAAACCGAAATTAGCGGCCATGGGGATTCATTGTGCTGACCACGCAACACTGTCTATCTGCAAAAGTTGGCACTAAACTTCGCCGAAAAACAGCGGTCGCTTGGTCAGTATAGTTCGCTTGTGGACTAAAATCACGGAGTTCGTTTTGTTTGTTTGTAATGGTGCAGGATGAGGAAGGTGAAGTGATCAGCCAGTTAGAAGTGTTCAACAGTGTTGAGGTGCTGGCACCAGGCATTGAATTAGATGATGTGGACAGCCAACTCAACTCTGGTGAGTCAAATTCTTCAAGCACTGTCATATACATTAAATATGTCTCTGGAAATATATGCTCATCTGTTCATGCCATCATCATATTTCCTACTTTTGAACGTACTAATGGCTATTCCATATTAATTGTGAAGTGTAGTGGTGTACTTGTTGTATACTGTGCTTGTCATTGAGGGTGTGTTGTCTTTAGATAGTGACATAGAGTGTAATGATATTAGAAAGTTACAAGGTTCCGTTTTCAGCATCTGGTAGAAACCGCAATCACCACACAGGAGATTCTGCTGAACACAGATGATGTTTTTTTTTCCCCCCACAAAATCGATTCTCTATCAGAACACTGGGAAGTGGAGAGCTTCTTCTGCTTCTAGAGTATTTGTGTGTAATTGATTGTAAACATCTTTTGTTTGTATTAACTTCAAGTGGCCTAGGAACCATAAGGGAGACAAACTTTGAAGGAAACAAGGTAACAGGAGAATTTCATATTTGGATTACATATGAAAACTACATAAAAAATGTCATAATACATATAATGGATGATTATTCAGGTTTATATAAGATACAGTGAAATCACACTAATTCAGAATGTGTAATAATTCAGGCCGTAAGCAGGGGATAAAATACACTAATGAGACTGAAAAATACAACCTAGAAAGTGCAATTTACAACAGAACCAGCAGCTGGAGTGGAATTAAAACAAAAAAAAACACATGGAACAAACCCATTAGCAATGAACAGCTGGAGTTTGGTCTTGAAGGCATAGAAGAAGAAAATTTTTATGGAGCTTTTGGAGCTGATCCAAGTGGAGTTTGTTACTGGCTTAAAGGATGTCGGGCACCAAAATTGCACAAGAAGCTGAAGAAGACAGTTCAAGTGAAAAACCATAGGGAAGATGGGAAGAAGGATGAAACACATGCAAAGTTCAAATTTTTGGAAGTGAAATGAAGCTTGGATTCCTTCATCAGTTTTGTGGACTCCATCCACAATACAACAAATATTACCTAACACTGAGGGAAATGAGGCAAGGTGTAATAAAAAAAACAGTATAAAAGAGGAACACAGACCAAAATAAGTTCCTTTTTTAAACATGGTCTTAATAATACCATAAATATGTAGGTTACCTGAAATGTTTTTAAGACTGATGTCAGAATTTACATTTTTACATTTTATGACAGGTAAATTTATTTTGTGATATGCAGTCTAAGTTACAAAATGAAGTTATGTTGCCTAAAAAGACACATGAAGTCCATTCTCTTACTTCCCTCAATTTATTTTCAGTAGCAATTCTGTAATTTGGACTTTCACTAATTTTGACAAGGGTTCACGCCCAATTAGTCCAAATTAGTGAGGTCTTACTGTATATTTAAATCATGAAATAACCTGCCATGTTTGGTGCAAATAATTTTACTTATAACTCACAGTAACATTGTAGTACATCCTCACAGATGAATGACAGGACTTTGTATGAGGAGGAAAGACTCTGACTTTTGCCAATAGGTTAACGAAATATTTGCCAAAAGGAAAAATAAATTTGGGAAGAGTTCTGAAACATTTAAAGGATTCTGTTGTGTAATATCAATCAAAGATCTCTGTGTTCCTGAAATAATGGAAAAAGATATGATGATCATGATTATAACTCATATGACTGGTGCTATGTAGTGTCTGTGTGATGAGATAGAGCAATGGAGACATAGCTCACTTCTACATTTCAGCACAAGATCAAGGTGCTGTTCAATGAAGCATGACCTTTTAGTTCAAGCGTGTCACTTCTTTGTCTCCAGCTGGCAGACCTTAACAAGGATTCTGTGCTCCAGGTGAAACCATCAGGCCTGACCTAACACATTAGTTCATCATTTTACAGTGTACTTATTTAATAGCTTGGTACAGCTGTAATGGACTAATTCATATTTCAGAGATATATTGAAGTGGAGACAAGTGAAGTGACATTGTGTATAAGACCTGAAAACGTTGTATTAAATTTCTATTAATTTTTTGTTCAAAACAGGAACTGAGAACATGGTTTATGTGAGGGCTTCTGTTTTCAGTTGTTTTTTGTTACGCAGCACGATTAAGTGAATGATCTTCTGTGGCAGATGAGCTCCCTGAGCCACCACTGAGGCTGCCACATGGTGACCGGGCATTCTGCCTGTCGCCACCCAAGATGGCGCTGGCATTTGGGGTGCTGGGGCTGGTGTTTGTCTGTGCCGTGGCTGTGGCACTGTACACATTGCTGAAGGGGCGTCACCACTACCACAGCAAGGTCCATCTAGGGGAGGAGACCCTCATTGTGCAGGACAGTCCCTTCATGGGACACCGCATCCAGTGGCCCCATATCCGTGTCATGCACTGACAGATTCTCTTCTGTCTGTGCACAGTCAGTTCCCATGAAATCACTCTTTCTCAGAATAAAAATGATTTCACTTATTTCTTTGTTTTCGTTTTATTGACATGATTGCTTAGATGCAGTCCCTATTGTTTCCAGTGATTTGGAAACCAAAATGATTGTCATGTATACATTTACTATCAGTTTTGAAATAATTTTTGATTCCTTCTCTTTCTCTTCTAGCACCATTTTCATTTTGTAATTTTTGATTGATGAAAAGTCTCCAGCCTCTTGTTTCTCTCTCAGTCTTGCCATTTTGATTTCTTGCCCACTGTTTACTCTCCTTGGAATGCCTTCTAGTACCTGGCTGAACCTTACAGCGTGTCTTGGTTGAATTAATACCCATGGTATATGTCATCAAGATTATTTCATGTAATTGACCATCTATTCTTATCACAACAATTCCTTCACAAATACAAAATTGTTTTGACAAGCATAGAATTACAAAAAATAATCTTGTACTTGTTATTTAGTTATAAATGCATCCCTCTTTCTGAGACTTTTTGTATTACCATTATCCACTTCTGGCTTGCTAGTCCTGTCAGGATTCTTGCTGTGCCTAATCTGTGGCAATCTGTGTATCACCCTGGCAGGCACTCCTGTGCCTCCAATGATAAAGGCGCTGTACCAAGACTTTTGAAGGGTTTAATCATACTAATTTTGAAATGCAAGTGTACACAGTATTAAGCATATTCTTTCTGGTTAATTTTTTATAGTTAGCTTCACTGCAGTCCAAGTAGCCCCTTTTGTCATAATTCCTGACATTCATAAAGGAATTTTAAATAAATCACGTCACATGCCAGAACTTACTGCAGTGGATGATAAAGGCATATAAAATTTTCACAATATGATTTCACTGATAGCTTGCGCTAGCAGTACTACCAATAGTGGAAAGTGTGCTTATATGGTAATGACTTGTAAGAAGGTAAAAAAAGTTAAAGCTATCCCTGTAATGGCCATGAAGACCCATAGGGTTGTGAGATGTTGAGGCTTCCACATTTTGTTCAGACAGTTGGCTCACAGATGGCAGTAAGTTTGTAAGCCTTACATGCTGGCCACCCTTTACCCCCCAGGAAGATTCTTGGTACCCATTTCTGTTAGAGGCTGAGTTGACCCCAGGGCCATAATGCAGCTGGAAGGATTAGATCAATTGAGAATATCCACCTCACTGGGAATGGAACTCGCGACCTTCTGGCTTGTAGCATAGTGCCTCACCCAACTTTACTAACATGTGCCCCGGTAATTGTACATGGCTTTCTTTGTTTTCAGTGCTATTTATTTGGTGTTTAGCAAGATTGGTACTTAACATCAGTATTATCTATTGAGTAACTTTATGGCTATGAGACTTGACTCTTGGGTTTATGTTTCTTATGTGAAATGTAGGCATTATCTATAAACTGTGTAGGACAGAAGCCTATTCAGTTCAGCAAAAATGGAAGTGGGTTTAAAATAATGAAATATTTGTCTTTCAGTGTCATAAGTGACAAATATGTGGGAACACAGGAACTAGGTGCACCACTTGTGACTGCAGTTGGCTCCAGTGATCTGTGGTTAATTTTAAGACAGGTTTGGTGTGGCCACAATCCTTTGTTTTTCACTGTTTATAAGCAAAACATATTTTTAAAGACAGTAGTAACTGTCTGAATGTGTGGAATATTACTTTTATTATAAATTTATAAATGAATATAGTTATCTTATCTTGTATCTGTTGAGTTATAAGAAACATTGTGGAACGTAGAATTTTACGTTTTTTGAAAGCTGATAATATTGTCTTAAACAAAAAATAAAAACAGAACTTTCCTTGCTGAGATCAGTTATAATTTGGCAACATTTGAGATTTCTGATTTGTTTTACAGATCTTAACTGCAAGCAGTATCTGTGTTGCTTAATGGAAGTATGTTTGTAATTAACTAAATAAATTAAGTAATTCACCTGTCAACATTTATCATGCAATGAGACTGAACTATCTTTTATAATCTTACTGACTCTTGCAGATTTTTCCACTTAATATTATTCTTAGGCTTGCGTGAGACTAGGTGCCTTGATACATGAGTTATGAATGACCTGTACCAGCCCCAGATTTTGACCGAGAGAATGGAGAATTTAATGGAAATGAGAATTGGCAGGGAAAACTGAAGTTCTTGGAGATCGCATGTCCACTGCAAACACCACATCACCTGACAGGATAATGGATAATTGCATAATTATTTGCAGAGTAATACTGCCATTTTTAGGTATAAATAAGTCTTGTAAAAGCAGAATATTTTCCTGTTATAAAGCCAAAGATTGTGAGTTGTATAAGAATTCCTTCCTCCTCTTACATTAGTCTGGCTCTCCTTGCTTGTTACTCCTTTCTGATAAAGGTTGCCTTTTAAGGGCTGCGATAATTTTACATGGTGACGTTCCTTGGTGATGGACTTGCAGGGTGAGCAGAGGGTGTGTATGGGCAGGGTGTCTATATTGGTGTGCACTGTTGTGCATGGGATTGGTGGAAGATATTTATACTTATTAATTTACTATTTATTGCTCTTATAAATGTTTGTTTTATAATTTTTCTGTATATTATTTTATAAATATTTATTATATTAAAATATTTGTTATACTTCGTAAAGAATAGGAAACATTATTTTGTTAAGATCACTTTTGTACTAAATAAATATTTGTGTACATGTGGTATCTTTGCTTAAATGTTTTATTAAGTTGACTGTTACCCTCTAATTGCCTGGTAATGTCTGTTCACAGTGCCTTGTTGCTTCTGTGGCATTGGGAGACACCAATTGTCATGTGTAATGACAACAGATATAGACCCCTATTTACAATTCTCCAGTTGCTTAAAAGGTTTCCATTGTATTTAATAACATCAATAGACTTCATGTAACACTGTGAAAAATGGTGAAGTGATTATTGATAGTATTTTGGAAGCACAGTCTAAAATTTAAATAGGTTTTATACTAATATGGCTAAAACATCTTTGAGGTTATAGCATACCTTGAGTAGGCAATATTGTGGGAGAAAATTCTTCTGTGTTCCATGAGATCTGCAGTATGATGATTTTGGTTCTCACTGTATGTTGAAAACAGAATCTAGTAATTTTCCACAGATGACATAATCTATGCCAGTGGTTCTCAACCTTTGTCAGACCATGGCCCGATAAATTCTATTTTCTATAAGAAGAGGGCCTGGTGCCAGGCTGTGGACTGGCAGTTGAGAAACACTGATGTGTGTCACTATCTGGTGGTGACACACCCTACAAGACATTTTAAATACATTGTTTAGTACATTAATGATGCAGAGTGATTTGATGTATTATTTTTTGTTTTGTTGTATTTTTTAACAAAGTGCTTTATAAATAGCTTGGATATATATATTTACTATGCTGAATATCAGGATCATTTTAAATAATTTTGGCAGATGGAAGTAAGAAGTGACCATGACTTATTTTAAGGTACTGACCTTAATCTTTTTGGATGGACTGAGGAAAAGCATGAAGAATGTCAGGAGAATTAGATTCTAGGTTTCTAACACAAGATCTTGGGAGTATGAAGATGGGATGTGAAACACCACATCCTAGTGTTTTCAGTGGATTCCTGTCTTCTGCAATGTGACGCCGCTTAGTTAGGTAGATAGGCACCAACATCTTGCAACAAAATTCTGCCTCCATTTTCAGGGTATAAGAGCATACTGACAGTGGAAGGAATTCTGTGACTTCTGTTGTGAGCAAAGCAATCAGAATTAGTGGAAATAACAGAGAAGGCAGGGAGAAACAGAGTCAGAAACTGGGGAAAGGCTGACTCTTCTACTGTGAGGTCTGAGTTTAAGCTGAACATTCAAAACATAATTAAACAACTACTAAACTACACAGCATCATATCCCAGAAGACTAATCCTTGTAGTCATCGCACCAAGCAACTTTGTTCAGGTTCCAATGTTCTTTTGACTTGTATTCAGGACATCCCTAGTTCAAATCTGTGCCAGGACACTTGACTGACCTGACTGAGGTCCTTCATGGTGTTCTTCAGTCCATCCAGGCAAATGCCAAAATAGTACCATGACTGAAGCCACGGTCACTTTCTTCAGCATCCTGTATAATTCATTTTTCTCTGTCATCCGATAATTTGATGATACATAATCCAAGTTTGAGGCAGCATTGTTAAATAAACTACAGATACCTCAACTTTTGTACATGTGTACCTACTTCAGTGGAGTAGGCTTCAAGTATCATGAGCATGATGACAGGAACCAGGGTAGCTCAGTCAGAATAGTGATGGGCTACAGGCTGGATAGACAAAGAATCTGTGTTCAGTTCTCAGGAGGGACAAGAGACTCTTCTCCACTGAGTTCAGACCAGGTCTGTGGCCCACACAGTCTTCTGTCCAATAGTTAGGGGTAAAGAGGCTTGGGCATGAAGATGATCACTGATATCCATATAGTGCAGAATTAAGGCTGCATGAAGCTAATATCATGAGTTTCCTTTGTACGACTCCATGAAGCAGTGCTTAATTGAGTGCAAGGACAAATTTAGTTCATCTTTACCTTTAACCAAACAGTGACGTGTGAATAAAATTAACGAGTCATGTCGGTGAAGGTAACGCAGGGTCGTTGAATTGTAATTCCTTCTTTTTTATGAAAGAAGTTTATACATCGTTCCGTCATTGTTATTAACATTCCTCACCCATATGTAATGCAAAAGTGGCACAAAGCTCCTGGTGCTAGACTTCATCTGAGGCTCTCACACCATTGAAAATGGAGGTCACTGTTTTCTATAATGTGATGGCGTGTAGTCTGATTATGTTTACTGACGTTTCAGATGAACATGTTTTACTTATTTTCAGGTATACTGGCAGAATGTTCCTCTGAAGCGTCGGTAGAAAATCTTCCAGACTACACGGTGTCACATCCCAGGTGATAGTAATCCGAATTCGTCTCCAAGTGTTTTGTGTTCTCATAGGTATAGCCGGAATTTTTGTAGCGTTTATAAGTTTCCCGTATTTTAAATGTGTTTTTGCGTTTAATGTACTTAACTTTTGTCCTGTAGGATTTGAAGTTCCGACAGCGGTGATTATGAAGAGTTCTGTCTTCTGGCATACACGGCTTTATGTCCCAGAATATAGAATCCTTCAACTTTTATGTTCAGAATTATTAATCTCTCGCTGTGCTAGTTGTCGCGTTTCACTATCGGGAATGACGGGTTCTAATATCTGTCGGATACCGGGAATTTAAATGAAGCATATTGATGTAAGGTGATAGCTCAGTCAATATAGTAATTGAACCGGGGTTCGATTCCCGACAGGGTAAGAGATTTCTTTGTTCTCTACAGTGTCCAAACCAGTTCTATACCCCACCCAGTCTCCTATTAATGGGAACCAACGGCTCAGTCCCTAGAGGTAAAGCGGCCGGGGCTTGAAGCTGACCGCTCACCCCTACCTAGTGCCCAGTTATACATCCACTCACGCATACATATCAATGCCAGTGCTTTGTAGTACACGTCATTCATAATCGTCGCACCATTTCAAATTTAATGTTTTATAAATAATGAAACTGAAAAATAGTTTAATCGGTGGGGGGGGGGATTATCGTTTAAAATTAGGGGCCACAAAATCTTGCAGTTAGGATATAGAAATATAGCATTTGCAGATGTTAAGTTAATATTTTTAGTGGAAATGTAACCTTTTTAATGCCGCATGGAAATAATTTGTTTCGTATCTTCTGCATTTACCCTCCTCCGTTTATTCCCTTTATGCCTTTTCTACCTCTACCACAGATCAAATCCCGATGAGGTGGATTTTTTCAATTTACTTAATCCTTTCAGCAGCACTATGGCCCTGGGATCGACTCAACCTCCAACAGAAATGAGTACCAGAGCTATTCTTAGGAGTAAACGTGCGGCCGGCTCATAAGGCTGACAACCTCACTGCCATCTGTGAGCCGACTGTCTAGAGAAAATGTGGGAACGTCAACATTTCACAACCCTATGGGCCTCCACGGCCTGTTACAGGGATAGCTTTACAACGTTACATTTTTGTTTCCCTCACTTCGTACAGTTTAGAACATAGAACTGCTGCCTGTATAGGAATATTGACTGCGTTAGGCATGGGGACGACAAATCATATATAATTATCTTTTATTATATGTATAAATTATGTTATCCTTAACATACAGATAATGTGTTTAAGAGACGGGCTATCTTCAGAACATTCACGTCTTAAATTATTCTTATTCTGTCATGTTTCTGTTTTAAATAATATTAAAATTTACTATAGCGTGTCGCATGCAGTTAAAGGGTCAACAATGGAATGCTTCATTTGTTTTCAAAATCATTGTACCATTGTCTCGCCTTTTGTCGCAACGTTGAATGCTGACCGCACTGACTTACTGGCGTGTTTCTCGGAAACTGTTCATCATATCAAAGCATGCGTAGGCTACAAGTATAAGATTAACGGTTATTCCATTGAGGTATTTTCTGTGAAACGTTTTACGATCCGGTGAATATGTCTTATACTGGAAGCTATGATACGGTCTGGTAATATAAAAAAAACAGCTGGTTACTATTCAGATATTTCTAGTTCCTGCCCCCCCCCTTCCTCTGAGATGAACAATAGTTACCGTTAAACTATTGCGGACACAATTGTTTCACTTTTTTCCAGTTCGTAACATAATATTCAATGTCATATTTACTTATCGAAGTAATTGGGAAGCAATGTGGAACTTGTACGTATATTGCAGAATTTTTGTTCTTCGACGCCATTCACTGGTACTTTCTTTCATAAAAGTAAAAAGAGATAGAAGAGGCAATGAACTACTTTCATTTTAATTTATTAAAATTTTATTTTATTCCGGACACGCTAGCAATATATCATTGAGAAAAATGAAATAATTATGTATCTCCTCTGGCGGAACAGCGACATCTTCTGTTTCTCCAGGAATAAAGCAAGGTGCTTGTATATCGAAGGATATGTTTTACTCTTTACGAGGGACGTCAGCCACATGTGGGATATTATTCGATGTGTAATTAATTCGTAGTCCCTCTGCGTCCATCACGCTGTATACGGCGCATTACGAAAAGAAAACAAATGGTTCTAGACAATTTGATGTTTAAAGCCAAAATTTTCGTTAGTATTTTAACAACGAGAATTACGGGACACTCAGCTATTTAGTTATACTAATTAATACAGGCCGGTATACAAACCCGAGATTAACGGCCGTGGGAATCCGTTGCGCTGACCACGCGACACCCTCTATCCACAAAAGTTGGCACTAAGCTCGTCGCTCGGTCGGTATAATTCCCTTGCGGACTAAAGCCACGGCGTTGGTTTTCTATTGTTTTTGACTGCATAATGAGAAGCTTCATAACTTGTAGTCTTCTCCAAGTATAATTAGAATGATCAAGCCAAGAGGATGGGGTGGGCAGGGCATTTAGCACGAATGGGGGAGAATAGGAATGCATATAGGATATTGGTGGGAAAGCCAGATAGAAAGAGACCACTGGGAAGACCAAGGCGTAGGTGGGGAACAATATTAAAATGGATCTTAGAGAGATAGGATGGGATGGTAGGGATTGGATTGATCTGGCTCCGGGTAGGGGCCATTGGAGGGCTCTTGTGAACACCTTAATGAACCTTCGGGTTCCATAAGTGAAAAAAAATGAAGTATGACGTTGGTATGGCTTCCAGTGACATAACTTTCGTACAAAATTTCGTGAATCAAAGTTAAAATTGGGAGAGATACAGACGCGTACAGAGAGCAGCATGATCACACCAACTTGTTTTTCTTTTTTCTTTCAGGACAGAAAATAAACTAAAAACATGACCTTTATCTCTTTCAGTTTTCTTAACTCTCTCATAAATATAAACTTAATTATATTTTATTGTAGCACTCTGTTGTACTGTGTATTCCAATTTTTAGGATTCTGAAAAAGATCCTCAAAGTGTGAATTCAATACGTGGACGGAATTATACAGAGGCCTTGAAGTGAGAATCCTAGAAAACTGGAATAAACTTACTAATTTCCAACGGTATGGAATTTGCTGACAGATTACTTCGATATATCGATGGACCATTTGCTAAGAGGACAGGGATCTGGAAGTTGCTTTTCAGAAAAATTCAACGTGAAAAATATACAAAATTCAAGTACAAGAAGTTGTCTAGTGAAAAACATAACCTGGCCTTACATTTTATATAACAGGTGGTAATATATAAATACCACAAAACGAGAAATGTGTTTGACATGATTGCCAAACCTGTATCAGGGTCCGGTTATAACCACAGCTCGTACAGCGACAATACGCTAACGCCTTGCGATGGTGTTTTATTTGCAGGCGATTCTTATAATGGCGTCTTCAATGATTATTTTCTTTGATGTGCATCCAGTAATTAAGTTATTTCAAGAAAAGCAATTTCATTGTGAGATACCATCAAGTTAAGAAGGTATCCTGGAAACTTGTGCAACTTCCATGCTTAGTGTAAGTATTATGTGAGATACTGCATGCAGCCTGTTAAATGTTATTAGTTATCAGCGAGACAATTCTTGCCGACCCTGGGTTCGATACTAGATTGTATTACGTTGCGGTCAGGGAAGCGTGTCTCCTTAAACGAACAAACAAGACACTAGATAGCTATCACAACGCCGGTAGTTAAACTTCCGTACACCAGAGGTCACTCCTGTTGTGAATTTTAAACTTAGTACCGATGAAGAGAATTTTTTATAGCCGACTGAGAATTAATTCTTCCGTAAAATTGTTGAATAACAGTTCATGAGACCTTTTGTTTGCAAACAATTAATTAGCTACAAAACGTTAAAGTGCGATATGCAAAATACAATATAATTCATATGTCAAATCAAGAAAAACGAAGAGAGTTTTTCGCTCAAAATTTAAGACGTTTTGTAAAATGTTGTCATTGTCTTCATGGCATCCAGTAATTTAGCATTACCTTTCTCTCGAAATATCATACTGTTTTCTGACTGTGGTCTAAATACGAGACGGCGAAGGGCAATATAACACCACCAGACAAATACGAGTGGTTTCACTTTCGACACACACGATGTTTATTCACATTTGGTCTTCTTTGTTATGACACCGTATAATGTGATGGGTGCTTAATTTTAGGTTATGTTAGGTCGATGACAACGTTTCAAAGGAACATACCACTTCCATCTTGAAGACAGGCAGCATGTTCTTCCGAAACGTTGGTATCCAACTACTAGATTGTATAATGCCATGACGTAGAGCACTCCAGTTTTGATTACGATATTTTAATTTTGGCCGCGCCATAGCTGAAGCGGTTAGTCACTGGCTTCCCACCGCGGCGGCCCGGATTCGATCCCGGGCCTGGTCAAGTGGTATTTGTGGTCGACAAAGTGGCGCTGGGGCAGGTTTTCCCCGAGTACTTCGGTTTCCCCTGCCAATCTTCATTCCACCAATTGCTCCACATTCACTCTCACCTACCATCTGGGGCTGGTACAATATGCCGGAAGTGGCCGCAGTGCAAGGGGCTTAGTCCCACCCCACTAGCAATAAAAAAAATACTTTAATTTTTCTATACTTTTCAGAAAGTCTTTTGTACTGCATTTTGTATGATGCTACGGAATACGTTGTATTACATTAAGGTGCGTTATAACGTTCTGTAATTTGGACTGCTGGTTTAGTACGAAATCATAAGCAGTAAAATATCCAAACTTTCTGTAGATGAAACCTACATGTTGTTGTCTAGAATGAAAACTCGTGACTGCACTGTTCGTATCTTCGTCTTAAAACATTTACTTATTCGTCTCATTCGCAAAATATTTTTATTTTCCATCATATACATTTCCTGGACAGGAACTTCGATGCCTAAACTCACCTCTGAATGAGGCCTTCATATATCTAGCTTGATCCTTGCTTTATTCAATGATACGTTCTGAACTGCATGCTTGCTTTTGAATGCTGTTTTCTTAGCATCGAATTGGAGGTTGGTTGTGCGTGATGAATCAAGAAGACTGGAACAAGTGGTCTGACGGAATTTATTTAAGGTAGCGGAAAAATTTTATCTTTTGCCTGACTGGACTGGGAAACCCCACGAAACATCTCAGTATTATAGCAACTCTAGAAATTCCAACAATCTCAGCCAAAAATTATAAATTCAATAAAATATAATGCAATTTTGTTACTACAACAGAAGATTTCTCGCTCTCTATAATGAAGTTGTTCCTGTGCTTAATTAATTAAGCACTACACCATGAAGGCTTATGGTGATTGGATGTATAGATCCACATTTTCTTGGCCTCGACACTAGCTGGAGGTGAGTGGTAAGCTTTACCTCCGGGAAAAACGCCCCTGGTACCCATTGGATAGGAGGTTGGGTGGGCCCCAGAGCCGGCCTGGACAAAGTGGAGAAAATTCTTGACCGTACCGGGACTCGAACTCCGACCCCTGGGTCGTCCAGCCCGTACCTAGTCGCTATCCCGGCTCACCTCTCTTTCTATACATATATGTATATATTTAAACAATGTAGCGGTGAGAGTCACGCAACTTCCAGTTAACGTAGCAACTGCTTATCAAACGTTAAAGCGCTCCTTGAACGTAGGTTATTCAGTAGGTCACGAGCGAGAGAGCAGCCTTTTATTTCAGTGCATCGTGTCTGTTCTGTGAGTATTATAATATCGTGATTTAGCTGTATGAAATGTGAGATACTGTATGAATCAGACGCGTTTACGTTTAACATTTGCGCGTGTTAATCGTGCGATATGGCCTTAATGTCGGCCTCTGCGGATCACTAGTGATATTCCTTATATATCAAGAGCCGGCATAGCTCAGTCGGTATAGCGACTGGCTACACGCTGGACGACCAAGGGGTCGGAGTTCGTGTCCCGATATGGTCAAAAATTTTATCTTCTCCAAGTTGTCCAGGCCGGCTCTGGGGTTCACCCAACCTACTATCCAATCGGTACCGGGAGCTCTTTCCCCGGGGGTAAAGCGGCCAGGGCCTGAAGCTGACCACACACCTCCAACTAGTACCGAGGTCAACAAAATGTGGATCTACACGTACATATCCACTCCCCCATACGCCTTCATGGTGTACTGCTAAATTAGTTAAGCAAAGGACAACTTTGCCTTTACCTTATACATCAGAGAATTGTTTTATGCAATTCTTAAATGTTAATTTCGACACCAGTTACGTTTACATTTTTAAGTTTACCACCGAAATTGGCCACGGTCTACGCCCTTCATCTGGAGCAGCCGCGGAACTGTCGCGAGCCTCGGTATGAATTGCAACTTTCCCAGAGGTCGTTGAAGTGCCTGTCCACATTTACACCGTTGATTTATTTTTTTCTGGCCGGATGAACTCAAGAATGCAGCCTCTTCTCTGTGTGAGAAAGCTGTTTCGCTGTCAGGATTTTTCAGACAATTAGGATTATGTCTTTTCCCAGATGTGCTACTGGACGGGACACGATTCGCATTCTAGAGGTCATTGGTTCCATTCTGGTGTATCTTTTCTTTTCCTTCAGATTATTTGTCATTTAAGTCCTTTCAGAAAGAACAAAAATGCTTTCTTGTCTTGCATATTCGTTCTCTGCAACTTTCCTTCGGTCGTTGATAAGATATTTACAGGTACACATCAGTACATTTCTGAGAGGGAATCATAGATCATATCATTATCAAAGGAAATCACTGGCAGAAATATTACTTACATTGCATGAATTCGCAAATTATTCCATTTTTAGCAAGGATAATTCAGTCCATACACAGACCAGCTACGAGCTCGGCGGTGAAGAAATTTGGGTTTAATTCCCGGCAGAGGCAAGAGATTTTTTTCTTCTCTGCAGCGTTGAGACCGGCTCTGGGGCTCACCCAGCTTTCTGTCCAATAATTGCAGGGGGCTCTGTACCCTTGATTAAAGCAGCGGGAGCATAAAGCTGATCATTCGTCTGCAAATAATGCTGAGGTCAAGAATGGCGGAGCTATACCTCCACTTTCCTTTACGCCTTCATAGCGTGATGCTTAATTAATTAAGTACCGGGTAAATTTTACTGGCTCGGTACTGTAAATCGTACCGAAAATGTTTTCTGTATTTACAAATTTTATGGATCGGAAGGAGATCTGCATCTTCTTGCAGAGAGTCGCATGGAGAGGAGCGCCTGCAAAGCCAGTAATTAAGCTTTATCAGTCGCAAGGTCTTGCATAAAAAGCTGGCCTCAAAAGGTTCTGCAGTATGGGTTCATGTAAGGTCAAATAAAACAGGCCACGAACGAGTACTCGAGCTTGACCTTGTGACCTACACACACAGAATATAATCGCCCTTATCCATTCATTCGCTCCTTACTTTAAGATTGCGTCGTGACGCCGTGTAGTCTGATAGATAATTACCAACATCTTCGTTGGAATCTTTGCCACAGTATTCGTCTGCCTTAACGTTGGAGGCTGTAGTTTTCCTCCACAATGTTGGCAAATATTACCAGACTACACGGCATTACATTCAGAACTTCTGTTCTACCGCCATGTGTCTGGTTGGACTTCTGGCGGGATATAAATGTCTGAGAATCAAATAAAAATTAATAACAGTCGGTTATTGTTCATTCTTCGTTGTGGCTTGTTACGTCACGTCAGTGGTTATTGAAGGCTGGCTGAGTGTAACACTTGTCAAGTGTGTGTGTGTGTGTGTGTGTGTGTGTGTGTGTCTGTGTGTGCTGTGGAAAGCGTTATCAAAGCTTCTCTTCCTGAATGTGAATTTAAATCCACTCAGTTTACAATTCCTTTCACGTGCATAGACCACCTCTGTGGTCTAGTGGTCAGAGTTCATGCCTTCAGATCCAGAGGTCCCGGGTTCGATTTCCGGCTCTATCAGATTTTCTGAGAAGTAGAGGGTCTGGAACGGGGTCCACTCAGCCTCATGAGGATAATTGAGGAGTCATTTCGAGGAAATAGTGGCTCCGGTCTAGAATAACGAGATTAACGGCCGTGGGGATCCGTTGCGCTGACCACGTGACACCCTCTATCCGCTAAAGTTGGCACTAACTTCGCCGACAAGCGTCGGTCGCTCGGTCGGTATAGTTCGCTTGCGGACTGAAGCCACGGGGTTTGTTTTGTGTTTCACATACATATGTAGCAGGTAAATTTAAAAGAAACCCAACTTTTTAGTGCAGTCTGAAAGGGGGCGCTGTTTGTTCACTTTTCCTCACACATCCTCATGCTGTGAGGTTCGAACTCCTGCCGACAGGGGGTACACGTAAAGGACTTTCTCTTCTCCTGCAAAGCCACTCACACTTTTCGTTGTTCGCATGATGGCCATGCGCAAATGCGCTTGTCAGGTTCACGATTAGGCAGTGTTAATAAACAATAAATCGAAGTCTTCTGTGAGTTTAGTGAGACATGGCGGCAGGTGGCAGCAAAAACGTAACCGTGACGGGATCTTTTCCACTGACTGCTCGCATGCATGCAACACTGGCTCAAGACGCTTACAGAATATTCATTAACCCTTTTTTTGT